CAAGACTCGACTTGAAATAGACACACTAAAAGCGATATTACTTACTAAAGTTAATTATGAAGAAAATTGTACAGAATTTTATACAATGCTTCAAAGTAAAAAAAACCTACTGAAAAAGATCCCTAGTTCAGAAAAATATAAAAAGTATTCTACTCAGTAATTCTGATTAAAAAAACCGGATTCATTTAGAAAAAAATACTGATTTTTATTATATCCTTAAATAATTTTTATTAAAAAAAATCATATTTAAGTTATTTAACTTAACTACCCCCCCCACCCGCTACAAGTTCCCGTCCCGGATTTGAAATAAAAAAATATGGTCACCTTAGTAGTACCCGTTTAGCATTCATGTCTCTGATTTAGTACGAAATTATAGTCCAAAAATCATAATGTAAAGTGAACTTGAGTTTTTTCGATGTCTGTCAAATAAATATGTAGATATCTCTTTCCAGGTATTAGTATTCAACGTACAGGCCTGACGAGTACTTGATGTTAATTTTAACTTGTACCTCCACGCTTTGCTGGGAAAAAGGGTCTTGACAGACAGACAAACGGACAACACTGATCCTATAAGGGTTCCTTTTGAGATACGGAACCCTAAAAATGAATATTTAAATTTTGAACCACGACTAGGGTTGCCACTTTTTCAGGCTTTACATAAAGTATTTCTCGACTAAAAGGTAAAAAAAGAAAGTACTCAGCATAAAGATAAAGTATTTTTTTTGTTTTTAAAAACATATTTTTTGTTACACCTAGCAGCCAGTAACAAATTAAATACATTAATAGCCTCTAAACATGGCAAACAAAGATTTAAGTAAACTAAAAGTTCATTTTTAATTAGTTTTAATGTAGCTTTATTCCTGTCGTCCCGCCACTTTGCCTTCATAACAGAGAATACTCTTTCTGTAAATGCTGAAGTGGCCGGAACGGACAGCAAAAGTGACACTACTTTTAACAGATTTCGGAAATCAGGTTTTCTGTGCAATATTATTGATGTAAAAATACTCTGAATTTCGAATAATCGCTTACAAAATTACGATGTTTACTTAAGGCTTTAAATAAAGTATTTTTACCTACTTTATGTGTGTTGTAAAGTATAACGTACGCACAGTCGAAATAGAGTGCAATACTTTATAATAAAGTACGGGTGGCAACCCTAACCACGACCGAGCATCCTCTGTGGCACGGATACGGACCCGCAACGGTGTGGTGTGAATCATCCTTTATGATGCTACATTTACGTGGGCTGTACGCTATATGATATCTAAAACATTCTCATTCTGCACATCGAATTAAAAATAAACCTCTATCCATATTACAGAATTGCTTATTTTACTGAAAGAGATTTTAATAATGGATTTGAAGGTAGAGCAAGGTGTTGTCAGGTAGGTTGTCATTGATTTTTGAAAAATCTGGTTTTGTGATCGTACTGGGATTCACAGAAGACTGAAGAATATGCTCGGAGGCAAACCAGTGGACAAAGCAATGCACATATTATACCTGAACGAATAAGTTCAAGGAAGGATAAATCAAAATTACAGATAAACTGTTTAGTGAGAGGACGTCAAGTGTCTTCGTTGGCCTCAGATGCTTCTTAAAAGTGAATTTCCACAATTCTCGTTTTTGATAAACTCTGCATCAAATGGCATCAGTAAATGTGCTAATTTATCCCATAGGCAGAGTAGAAAAAAACTTGTGGACTTGACGGTTTTAATAAATCATTAAAAGCGGTGTACATGTGGACATATATAAATCCATACAGTGTGTTGGACATTAATCAATTAAAATTTCAATCGATTAATTAATTCATTAAGTAATTAATTGTGATTAATTTAATTGGAGTTAAAATTAATTGCAATTGAGCTGTTAATTGTTTATTGCAATTAATTTATTTGGATTAATCTATATTAATCGTGTCTTACAATTAAATCAATTGGAATTAACTCTTTTAATTGTTTTAAAAAACAATTAAAACTAACAATTATTTCGCTTTGATGCAGGGAGACACTTGTTATAAAGAGCTATAAATTGTCAGACAATATGTTTCAGAAGAGGGTGGTGTTAAAATGCAATGTTAACTATTATTAGGACTGATTACTAAAAGGTGATTGTCAATATTAAATTTAGATTGATATCTGACTGATAAATATAACTTAAATTAACAATTTATTGAAAAAATTAAAGTTAAATTAAGAAATTATAGTCGTAGTTGAACTTATTATAATCTGCCATTAAATTTAATTAAACGAAAAAAAAAAAATGCAAAAAATAGCACTTTTATTTGCTACAGATATTTACTTATTTTATTCATACCTTACGTTACACTTTAATTTCAACTGTGCTTTTCATATTTTTAATTAATTTTAGTTGCTAGTTTTCTCAATTACAACTACTTAATTGTTAACTGCGAGTTTTCATAATTACAATTAAATAATTGTTAATTTCAACAAACGTGATTAACAATTAATTAATTGTTAATTGTCCAACCATTTAATTTTGCCCAATATTGGATTCAATCTCCATGAAAAAGTTTTTAAATCTTAAGAAAAGCGTTAATATCCTGGGTAATTGTTATATATTTTTTTATGATTGTGTGTTAAGTAGGTATGCATTTTCCATGCATTGATTTTATTTATGTTAAAAAATTATAATCGTAAGTTAATGTAGTAAATGTTTTTGGAGATTAACTTGCGATCAGCATCCAGCAGACGTATGTAT